GGGATATAAAGAATAAATAGCAGATACTCTTCATTTACATACGATTAAGTCATTCAAACCGTTCTCTCTATTTACAATAACGTTGTGCTCTAGGCGTTTATTCTTTTTTATTTTAAATCTAAAGTCCATAAGGAAAAAGAACAAAAAAAATATCACACACACGCTTTCCGAATAATGGAAAATAGCTTTAAAACGTTTTCTTATCAAAAAGTTTGGTTTGTATTTTTTAACCCTTTTATTTAAAAAAAACCCCAAAAACTCAACAAAAAATCTACTTCGCTAAAGCGAAGCAACTTCTCTCTGGAATATAAATACCAAAAAAAAAAAAAGATACATTAGCAACGAACAGGGTAATAGTCTTAAAAATACAGTAGACGCTGATTATTTCACGTATAATACTGACCTTTTAATAGTATATTAAAACGGTGCCATATATACACACAATATACATTCTCCTACACGTTACAGTGCATTACAACGTTAACCAGAAAGCAAATGTCTTTTATTTTTGTTGCAGCAAAGGTCCACGTGAGTCCGCCGGAGAAGGGAAGTGCAAGCCCTAGCAGGAGCACTTGCACTCCGAGATGATGGGGTACTGGATGGGTATCCATGTGCACCTCTGCCCCCCCCGGCGCTGGCACCTCCACCTCAGGATCGTTAAATGCACGGACTTGGCAGGTTTGCAAACCATCCCTTCTGGGACCGAACAAGACCTTTTACTGTAGCAGCTGCCCACTTTGACATACCGGGGCCAAAAGCGGCTGCCGAGATCGTTCCACGTGTATAGGACCGGGCAGAAGGTCTGGGACCAGAGCCACATCTGCAGCTTCCTGCGCAGCTTCTTGCTCAGCCTGTGCTTCTTGCCCGGCTGCAGCCCGTCGTAAAATTCCAGCCCTTTGATTTCGCTGGGCATCGCTCCCGAGGGTCTCTGCCGGAGCAGCAAGTCCAGCTCGGCTAGATCGTCCACGCCGAGCCGGTCCTCGGGCAAGGTAATAGCCATAAAGTTAGGGTCGAAGTGTCCGCCCATGAGGTTCCTGAGCAAGGTCTCGTTAAGATCCTTCTCCTTGGGGTCAAAGATAGGGTCCGGGTGCTCGATTAGATCCACCAAGGGCAGGTTGTCGCTGGGAGCCGGTCGGATGTGCAGATAGTGCTGGCAGGCGCCTTGCTCTAGCCGGAGACCCAGCAGAACCACCAAGGCGTATATAGTCACAAGGCACTGGGAATGATCCATCCTTGGGAGACCGGTGGGGGGGGGAGAGGGG